AGAGAAAGTCCTTACAAATGCAAAGAATGTGACAAGTCCTTTACCCGGAACTCACAACTTAGAGCACATCAGAGAGTTCACACTGGAGAGAGACCTTACAAATGTATGGAATGTGACAAGTCCTTTACTCGGAACTCAAAACTTAGAGCACATCAGAGAGTTCATACTGGGGAAAAACCTTACAAATGTCTGGAATGTGACAAGTCCTTTACCTGGGATTCAGATCTTAGAAATCATCAGAGAGTTCACACTGGAGAGAGACCTTACAAATGCAAAGAATGTGACAAGTCCTTTACCCGGAACTCACAACTTAGAGCACATCAGAGAGTTCATACTGGAGAGAGACCTTACAAATGCAAAAATGTGACAAGTCCTTTACCCAGAAATCACAAGTTAGGGCAGATAAAGGGTAGAAATAGAGGAGGTCAAGAAAGGAGATGCCTTGAGGGGGAGACTGTATAGGTTTGGAGAGAAGTCTGGCACAGGAGAAATGTTAGGGGATCCACAGAGATGACCCAACTAAGAATCTAGGCCATGGTGGAGACAATGCCTTTGATGCCCTTCCCCTGTAAAGAGATTGATGTCTACCTTGGTTACCTTCCCTAGAGCCTTCATCCAGTAGTTGTTGGAAGCAGAAAAAGTTACCCACAGTTCAGCACTGAATCATACTCCAGGAATCCAGTTTTGAAGAGGGAGGAAAATGAGCAAAGGAGCCAAGAAGGTACGGGAGAAACCCTGAGAAACAATTGACATGACCTAGTGAGAGCATGGAGACCCTAGTCGTAAAGCTGGGAAAACAGCATTGGACTGAACCAAGACCTCCGAATGTGGGTGCGCTAGGAGGCCAAGACAGTCTATGGGTCTTCTAACAGTGGAGCCACCCTTTATACCTAGAACATAAATGGTCTTTTGGAGCCCATTCCTTATGGAGGGATAATATTGCAGCCCAGATATAGTAAGGAGGGCCTAGGCCCTCCCCCAAATGATATAACTGACTTTGAAGGTCCCCTGTGGATGGCCTCAGTATCCCTGGCTAGTAGGTGGGGGATGGATTTGGGGGTGGTTTTTGGGGAACATGGGATTATGTGAGGGCTAGGGAATGGGGGGATGGATATGTTAATGAGTGCCTCTAAAATACAAAAAATAATAAAAAATGAGAATAAATAAATAAATTCAACAAAAAAGAAAATAACGTAAATTCACAGGCACACTTTAATTCATTTTTCCCTGTCTTTTTATTTCTTCATACACAACTACTTGTCTTCTGATCTGTTGAAGCAGTAAATCAGACAACACTTGCCACAGTAATGTCTGTCAAAATAGCTAGCCATGAAAACTCCAGCACCATACTCATCAGATGGACACTCTCAAAGAAAGCGACTAATTTTGCCATTTTCATCCACCTTATAGTACTTCAGCACAGCCAACTTAACCTTCTTTCTCTTATGCTTATTCTTCTTGGGAGTGGTGTAGGACTTCTTCTTCCTCTTCTTAGCACCACCACGAAGTCTCAACACAAGATGAAGGGTGGACTCCTTTTGGATGTTGTAGTCAGACAAAGTATGGCCATCTTTAAGTTGATTACCAGAAAAGATCAACCTCTGCTGGTCAGGAGGAATTCCTTCCTTATCCTAGATCTTGGCCTTTACATTTTGTATAGTGTCGAGCGTGATGGTTTTTTCCATAAGGGTCTTCACGAAAATCTGCATCTTGGCGGCAGTTCCACCACAGATGGCAGATTGGAAAGCCACTCTAATTCATTTTAAAGTGTGAGTATTATAGAAAGTATTCATGCTAGTGTTTAAAATACTATAGCTGCCAGTTTTGGTGCCATACTTTTTATGATTGATTAAAGCTTTCCTGAGGATCCAGAAAGCAAAGTCAGCCACAAACCACATAAGCCAGGCAGACATTAATCACAGCAGCCAGAAACTTAGAGGTTTTGCACACCTTTAATCCTACAACTCACGATTAGGAGCTAGACAGATTTGTGTGAGTCCAAGACCATCCAGATCTAAAGAGGATTGATCCAGTTCCAAAGAGAAACAGCTCCAAGGTCATTGGTGGTGCACGCCTTTAATCCCAGCACTCCGGAGGCAGAGGCAGTCGGATCTCTGTGAGTTCGAGACCAGCCTGGTCTACAAGAGCTAGTTCCAGGACAGCCTCCAAAGCCACAGAGAAACCCTGTCTCAAAAAAAACCAATAAATAAATAAATAAATAAGTAAATAAGAGAGAGAAACAGCTCATAGAAAGGTCATCTCAGCATCTGGGATCACATGACTTTAATCCCAGCATCAGGGAGGTACATAAGACAGGAGCAAGGTCTCCATATCAGGCATTCATTCTCCAGGCACAGTGAGGACAGGAAGCCTTCATTTTCCAACCACAATGAGGAGAAGCAACAGCCTGAAGAAATCATAAAGAAAGGATCAGCCCTTTAGTCTAAGGTAATGATCAGCTGCATTGATTTTCTGATCTTCAGCTTGAAGCTTGAATGCCAAAATGTGCCTCTATGTCTTTTTTATTTTATTGTGGTACAGCCAGTAATACTTTATGGAAGTAAAATACTCAATGAGACCCTCCCTCAGCCAGAATGATAATTGAACCAATCTTACACGATTGCTGGTTCTCGGTACTTTCTGAATACTTATGAGACCCTGGATTACCCACTACCAAGTGAAAGAGGCTTTCTTCATGAAGCTTGAGAGGAGTTCAAATTTATAGTTGTAAACAGATGTTTAGATGCCAGACAACAGCATGATCATGAACAAAGCATCCATAGGTTCTGCCCTTGCAGCTACAAATCCTAAATTATGATTTTAGACCATGTTTACATGGCCAGGCATAAATTGCCCTCTGTGAAGCAGACCTCAAATGCAATCATGAAACAGGATTCTCATGCCCATAGGCAGTCATGCCACTTTGGATCTGTAAATACATCTTGCCTTGCAGGTTGGTAATGTAGGATGCAGAGACTAGGTGTAAGTAAGACCATTGGCATCTTTTCTCTGCCAGTAGCCTGACAGGAGCTTGCAGTGCTATGAAACCTAGCAAGCATGGAGCGTTCCCTTGTATATTCAAGATTCCCCACTCTCTGTCCTGAAACCAAAGTGTTTGGTGTCTTCAGCAAAACCATGTACTTACAGTGGCCAAGCAAGAGCACTGCCAATGACCTGTTTTGTTCTAGGTGACAATGGGGGTCTCCCTGACCAGTAAACCCTTAGCAGATGACCAGTGTCTGGTACAGAGAATTTCATTTAGTAGCCCTAGTGTCTGATAGCAGCATTATTTACCCATGTAGAATACCTCCATTCAATGTTTTAAACATTATATTTTCTATTAAGTTGTAGGATAGTGGAACTTCATAAGTCTTCATGAATCTCCCCTTTGTGTTAACCCACTCACTCTTCCTCCTTTCATCCCTCCCTATCCACCGTTAAACATCTAGGACACATAATCCAGAGAGGGTCTTACTGGAGAGCCTAGGCTGGCCTTGAACTTGTTAACCTCCTGTCTCATCTTCCCAGGTGCTGGGATTATCTGAACCTGCCACCAAGCCTGGCTCTAGAGCAGATTATCCAATTCCCCATTTTATTATAACACCTGTGTTCTACTATCCTCTCTTATAACTTTTACTTGGGTTAAAAAAGAATAGGTGTTCATGTAGCTTCCCATGGACATCTTGTTTGAAATGACATTTCTGCAGTCCACTCTAATACCCTCCACACAGTCTTATGTAAGCACACAAAACAAAAAGTGAAAAGAGTACCCACATATTCAATTACACATATCTCTTAATAGATATCTAGGTTGATTCTGTATCTTAGATGCTGTCAATACAGGAACAATGAACATCATGGGCCAATGCTCAGGGACAAGATGAAAAGTCCTTGGGGTTCATGCCCAGAATTAATTGTTGTGTATCACCTTCCTCTTACACAAACTCCTTAAATGCTGAGGAAACTCCCCCAAAACACAGGACGTTAAAAGAGAAGTCAAAGAATGGGATACACCCAAGTTGAACAGTACATTCAACAGAGAAGCTCACAAGTCTTAGAAACAGCCAACTTTATCCCGAGCCTCGGTTGCTCACACCTTTAATCCCAGCACTCAGGAGGCAGAGGAAGGCAGATGTCTATGAGTTCAAGGCCAGACTGGTCTACAGAGCCAGTGTCACCACAACCTCCAAAGCAATGTCAAGAAACTCAGTCTTGAAAACCAAACAACAAAAAAAGAAGAAGAAGAAAAAAGAAAGAAATACACAATTTTGTTTGTTCAGGAAGTCACAGAAACTGACCAGACCCACTAGCTCCCTCCTGCCTTAAGCATATGTGATCAGTGAGGACTGCAGACACTGTCAGACAAGCTGAGCTGCACATAAGATGCTCAGAACAGCCACTAGGCAGACAGCAGTCAAGCTGTCTATAGGAGGTAGTGAATATTTTGAAAGAAATTCCTAACCTACTTTGAGCTGTGTGGAAGCTATGTAGTGATTCCCAAGTTTCCAGATTCATTAGCAATTACACTCGCAAAGTGATGCAGCTGTCATTGAGTCCTTGGTGCTTGAGTAATCTCTCACTAACACTTATTTTTTTAAAAAACTTTTTATTAATTTATTTTTTACATTCCAATCCCAGTTCCTCATCCCTTCACTCCTCTGGCTCCCCCCACTCACCCCCACCTCTCATCTGCTCTGCAGAGGGTACGGCCTCCCATAGGAAGTCTTCTAAGTCTGTGTCATCATCTCATTGTCACTCACACTCTTGTAAGTCACCCCAGTAAAAATTTGTCACTGTGATTGGGTTAACAATGAAGCTAGAAAGGGAGACCGAAAGATTGACACAAATGGAGGCCCCAGGAAACAGATTATCTTAATAGAGGGAGTTATTATGGGTTTAGGGAGAAAGCTAGTGCTA